CCCCCCCCCCCCCCCCCCCCCACACACACACACACATACACACACACACACACACTCGCTAGAGGCTCCTGTACTGCTCCTTGAAGGAGCGAGCTGGTTCGCTGCGCGTGCTGCGGCTGGAACATCCATTCCACAGACTGAGTCCGCCAGGCAACGTCTCCTATTGTTGTATTTTTAATAAATAATCAAAATAAAAATGTGCAATGACTTTGGACTTTTAGGGGCGGAGCTGCTGGATCCGAGCAAAGAGTTGCCGGAACAGAACGGGTCAAAATGAGAGAGTTCCCTGATCTTGTTCCCACAGGATCTGGCTCAAATTAACCACTGGTGATCAGTCAGAGGACCAGACTTGAATTTGTTGGATTTTTTTACCTGGATTATTGAGTATGAACTTTGATGTTCAGTACAAACTGTTTACAGTTCTGAGTGGACCTGAATGCACAGAACAAAACATGATGCAGCAAAGTAAATATGGATGCTACATACGTTAGCATATATGTACTGATGCTGAAGTTGTTGCGCAATCAGAACTGATTAAATTCTTATCTGACTTGTTTTGTCCAGTGTTTATGTAGAATCTTACCTCATCCAGCACAGCACTGTAATTTTTGAACAGGAGAGAATTACTGAAGGCAGAAACAAACTCAATTATCAATCTAATCACATTAATATTATTATGGTCTGACAATAACTTTAGTAAATCTACAAAGTATCACTAAACAAAATTCAGAAGAAATGACCGTTCAAACTGTGGTTACTTTGAAAAACATTTGCTATGTATGGAAAAGGTTTAGAGCCACGGTTAAAAAAAATCCTCAATTCTGATTTTTTTTTTTTAGAAATCAGGATTTTTCAGTTTTATTTTATTTTCATTTTATTTTTTGTTTTTGCACGATGGCTCTAATCCTCTTCTAATTCTGACCACAAGTCCCCACCCTTTCCTAAATAAATTTGCAACTAATGATTCTTTCTTCTTCATTCTTCATTGGAGGGGAAAAAAAAGTGTTTTTAACGTTAAATGGTACTTAATTTTTAATCAGAAAACTTGTTAAAAATCCTGCAGATCACATTTTTAAGTACAAAAGCCCTTTAAAATAGTTTCTTGAAACATGCACAGTAACTATTCTTGAATGGTTTCTCTGCTATTTTTGTTTCGGCACTTCATTTCATTTCATTTCATTTCATTTTTCATTTATTTATTTCTATAGAGCTTTACACAACCACGGTGATGGTGACCAAAGTGCTTAACAAAAACAGTAATTAAAATGACAACTAGTTAAAAGCAAGAAAAAACACAGTAAGATAACAAAAACGAGAACCAGAAATGTCAACACATATTTAAGTACTTAAAAAAACAAACCAAACAATATACCAGACACAACACTGACTGATAGGAAATCTATCCAAATCTACATTGGATTGCTATAAGCGTATAGATGTGAGGGGGTTGAAGGAAGCTATTTATGTAAAATGAGAGAAACCATCTTTAAACAAAGGAGGAGGTCTCAGATTTCAATTTTCAAAAACTTATAATGCAGCTTTAGGCCTGAAACACAGTCATCTTCACGCCTATCAGGAATTTCATTCATGTGACCAGAGTGGCCCATCTGTGAATAGGACCTTAACGAACCCATACTGTGAGGTGTGATAGGTCAATCTGTATATGTATGTATCTTACCTCAGCTTTATAACTTGAACCCCACACTCTCTGTTCTTTGAGTTAAGATAGATCCTCAGATGAGAAGTGAAACGTCTTCTGTTACAAATAAAGTCCAGCTGTTTTGTCTTGAACTTTTTTGAAGCATATACATGTTTTAGAGCAAGCAGAATTGCCTAGTTGAGTCTAAATGTGTTTTGATTACAGTAAAATTGTCCCCTAATTGGTGCCACCACCTTTACTAGCATCCAAAAGCCAAGCTCTAGTGTTGGTGTTAACATTGTGTTTCTCATTCTTAATGTGAATGATTTTAAAATTCATTTTTAATCATGTGTCATTTTTATTTGCACAACAATCATTGTAATGACTGCAGGCTTATTGAAGCATAACCTTTTGTGGGCAAAGGAACATTTGCATAAAAAGCAGTGTAGAAGTCATGGCTAGTGCTACATTAGAATAGGAAATTGGCTGGAAGCTGAAGACATAGTACTGATATTTTTGGCATTTTCTTTTTCCAAAAATGATAAAAAAATGTAAAAAAAATTATCAGACCACTAATTTTACACTAAAAATACATAAAATTTAGGACTAACAGAACAAGTGTTCAGCAAATTGAGAATATTGACTTTTGTAATAATTTCGCTGTACTAGATTTTACATGTGCATTGCTGCTTTTTGGCTCCTAATATGTGTTAATCGTGCTTTTTTGGTAGTAAGGAAGAAAAAATAATGAATATTATCCATAAATTGTAACAACTTCTCATGGATGATTACAATGACTCAGTAGGAATTGCTGCTCATTTTTCAGCTGCCCTTTAAAGAAGAATGAGTCATTTAGATAAAAAAAACCCCAACAACTTACTAATGGCAGCATGTGTCATCAAAGAAATCCATCAACTGGTTAAAAAAATAACATAATCCAGGCTCAAATGATTTTTAAATCACCAACTAAAAAATAGGGTCAAACAAAATTAAGACCTTATTCTTTAATTTCTTCAATGAAATCTTAATGGATTGTTTAAAAGCTGTTTGGCATGGCAACCTTAAAAATCCAACTTTAGGGGGAAAAAACAACATCTATCATCACTTTTATTCTGACTTAAATACCATTTGTAGACATTTGTATTAGTTTGGGAGATTTAGATTTGCTAATTGATTAAACTCATTTGGATGGTCGTTTGAACTTGTAAATCTTTAACACTTTCATTCAAATGGAAACGTGTAAAGCTTATATAGTTTATTTTTATGCTAAAGTAGCAGTTTTGGTGAAATGGAAGGGTATGGGCACAACATTTTGTTTGGATATTGATTTGAAAGTGAAAAGCAATTATTGATACTAATGCAAACTATACATTCAGGATGCTATTTTAGTTTAAACTTTGATGTACTGTATATATTTCCCTGTATGAGTGAAATTTTCTTTATTCAACACTCAAATGTTGTTTTTCATCCTGCTGTTTCATGTAGATGTGAAGAATGGCCTGACTTCCACCGTGTCTAACGCCAGTGACGATGGAGACGGTTGCTATGTTAATGTGGTCCAACGGCCACACTCACTAGAGATGTCCACCATGTCCGCTACATCAACCAGATCAGTGAAGGCAGAAAGACCTCGCAGTAACACATCGGAAGCCAAGTTGGAGGCCAAAAAGCGAGTCATTCGCATGCTGGTGGTCATCGTCGTCTTGTTCTTTCTCTGCTGGATGCCTCTGTACTGCGTCAACACCTGGCGGGCCTTCGATGACGCCTCTGCGACAGGCGCTCTTACAGGTGCACCTATTGCTTTCATCCACCTGCTGAGCTACACCTCTGCGTGCGTCAACCCAATTATTTACTGCTTCATGAACACGCGCTTCCGCAAAGCTCTGCTTTCCACGTTCTCGTGCTGTGCCGCACCGTGCCGTCGTCGCCGAGGGCTACGTGACAATGAGGAGGACGTTATGGCAACAGGGGCGTCCATGTCCAAGTTCAGTTACACCACCGTGAGCACCATGGGAACCTGCTGAGGAAGATGGATGCAGGCAAAATCTAGATAAGACAGTTACTACAGCAACACGGTTGCCAGCATCCTTTGTTTTCAGGCTAGCGCCGTGCTCATAAGGACTGCAATGTGAGTGGAGACACAAACCATATTATGTAGCAGTATAGAAGTTTCACCCGTGACCATGAGTAAAAATAAGTAGAAAATATTAAAGAAAATAGTCTTACAGTGTAAATACTTCCATAGCTTTAGAAGAAAAAGCACAGAAAAGGAGTACATGTTTATTCCTTGTCACTGTAGAGTGAGACAAATTGTTTGCTTAGATGTTTACAGGAGTGTATTAATGTGTACATTTTGTGTTTGTGTGTGTGGTATTGAAGACAAGACTAGTATATTGTGTGAAAAAGACGGCCGTGATAGATGTAATATGGCTACAAAGGACTATTTAAATTTAAACGTGTTGACTCTTGTTAAAATGTACGTTTTCAGTTGCCTTGTGGTCAAAGTGCCTGCTTTAAAATACTGCTGCTTTTGTCTTGTGTTTGTTTGCCTAATTTGTTATGGCAAATTATCAAAAATATATATATTCAAAGATGTTTATGTGTGGAACTGAAAGTGTTGTTGAGTTTTGGATGTTTTCATGGCAAGTGATCAGTGAATGTCAAAGCTCAAACTGTTCCACTTTAAAAAAATCAAGACATGTTGCAAAATGCTGGCAAGCTGGAGAATATGTTTGTTGAGTTTTATTAATGAATCTGTGCTTTTTAAATTAAAATAGGATATTAATTTAGCTCATTGTTCATAACACACTGATTGATGAGAATCTGGTCTTTTTAACACCAAATCAGAAAAAAATGTTCATTTCCATGTTACTTTAGATACAAAGCACCAAAGTCCATGCTCAATAATCCAGGTATAAAATCCAACAATGATCAGTCAGGTCATCTGGATGTTTTCTTTTGTTGTGCTGAGATGTTTCGCCCTCCATCCGAAGGGCTTCATCAGTCTGAGGAAACACCAAACAAATCTGATTCTCCAACAACAGCTTACTCCAAAGTGGAAAAAAAAACCTAGTTATGGTGGTGCTAAGATGGTCTCTGGGACATGCCCTGTCCCTCGTCGACAGTCTGTCAAACTGGTTCAAACTGTTGGTGGAGAATCAGTTTTGTTTAGTGTTTTCTCAGACTGATGAAGCCCTTTGGATGGAGGGTGAAACATCTCAGCACAACAAAAGAAACCGTCCAGATGACCTGACTGATGATTGTTGGATTTTATACCTGGTTTATTGAGCATGAACTTTGGTGTTTTGAACCAGTTTGACATGACTGTGAGAGGGTGGGCACCGGAGGAGAGTGCATGCACCAGAGACCATCTTAGCATCAACATAACTGTTTTTTTTCTCACTTTGGAGTAAATTGTTGGTGGAGAATCAGTTTTGTTTGGTGTTTCCTCAGACTGAAGAAGCCCTTCGGATGGAGGGCGAAATGTCTCAGCATAAAAAAAGAAACCATCCAGATGACCTCACTGAACATTGCTGGATAGATACAAAGCTTTTTTATTTTTTTATTATTTGAGATACAAAAAATACATTTTAAGGAAAGTAAATTGAATAAAAATGAATGTTTAAAAATGTCATAATATCACTTCCCCCAGTCAGGAAATTACATTTTGAAGAAATCTAAGTGCATTGAGCACTCAGAGGATGGAGCTGGACCTTTTTCACAGAAACTGAGATCAGACTGCGGTCATGGTCTCCACTGGTAGATGAACTAGTTTTGAACTCCCTGTCACTGTTAAGTTTATCTTTTAGACTGCACAGTGGTTTTTAGGGGTCTCTTTGTATGGTCTGTCTTGCTCATTTTGACACCCAGACTCTCCTCCTTCTAATTATGTTATAACTTCAGACCCTGCCGGGTTCAACTGGTGGACATTTTTCACAGAGTGCACCAAAGCACCGTTCTGTCAGTTTCATAACTTCAGATGGATGGCCTGCTGGTCTGATTGAGTGTGTTGAAAATGTTTATAGATTTGCAACATATACAATTTCTCCCACACCGTATGGGTTTAAAACTTAAATTGTGGCAGCTTACAGGAATCTTCTGTATTAAAATGAGCACATAAAATTCCAATTAATGGTCATGAAAAATTGTAGCAAATGACTATTTTGTTAATACTCCCAAATACCAACAATTTATATGCTCGTTATTTGGCATCTGCTATTTTTGCCACAATTATTCAAACACTCTGAGACAACTCTTGCTTCAAACTGATGACAAAGTGACAGCCAGAGCTACACTGACCCTCCCCCTTGTCATTTTTCAGATGCTTGAACCGTCAACGTGAAAACGCAAGAGGCAGACATTCATCTGCTTGCTATAAAAGCTCAATGGGCCTGCTTTGTATACCATTGACATTGCATGCATGCCTCTTATCTGTACTATGCACATAAAACTAAAGTGAGATCAGAGGAAATGGTTTGTACTGAATAAAAATGCTCTGATGTCACATAATAATGTTAAATCAAAATTCTTTCAGTAAACAAAGTAGTGAACTGTGGCCAGGAGGTAATAACATGCCCGTCACAAACTCACATTAGAGAAAAACAAATAGCACAGTTGTCTGTGTTGTTATTTATGATTTACATTTAAAATGTACATTAATTTTCTGAAGAGCCACAAGCGAGTGATTTCCCAGGGGCGTTACAGTGACTGTTACGTCTTGACTCCACATTCCACGATACCATTTCTTAACACACACACAAACAGGCACCGTTCTTCATCTTAAACTGGCTAATGTGCGTGTCTATTTGCGTGCACGTTCTGACAATCAGTTACAAAGCACGAGTAGTTGCAAACAGATATGATGACCAATTAAACACATACAATCTTGGGAAAAATAAGCATATTATACCTTGAGGAAATGCGTGTTCTCTGCCATCTTTTATGCCAGATTTTTCAATTCAGATCTATGATGAGAAATAATGGAGAAATAATGGAACTGTAAATCTGAAAATTTATATATTATGCATGTTCTCATGCATAATAGCTGTAGCACTTCTGGTAGAACCTGGGGAAATCGAAAGGCAAATATTATAATAATTCTGTTTGCATAATCATGTAATGCAAAATTGTTGATGATGGAACAATTTAGAAAACAGTGTTAACATGAACTATGTATATTTAGACAATTTTGTAGTTTATACAGCATGGTAGTCTTGGCCTTACTTGGACTAGCAGTTAGCACATTAGTTTGATTATGAATCGTATCGTATTTTTCACACTATAAGTCTCGTTTTTTTGCATAATTGGCATGTCCTGCGACTTATAGGCCGAAGCGACATATTCATGGATTACTCCCATATTTATAAACCAATTTTTGGCTGAGATATGACCGTTTTCATTCATTCTGACTGAAAAAAAATTGAACACTACATTTTTCAACCACTAGACGGCAGCAGAGTAGTAGGGCATGACGTTGTATCATGTAATAAGTAGATTATGGCTATAATGACAAATTCAAAAAAGTACAAGACAAAAACAACTGGATTTTATTGATTATACTTTATTATTTTTGTATTGAACTTTTATGAACTTACCATGTCCTGGATGACTGAGAATCTTCACCAACTATTAATGACACAATCGACCTGCCAATGTCTGCCACATACGTCCAGCTCGCCTGGAGCAACCGTCAAATCAGCTTCATTTTGCTGCACGGCCCCAGCGAAATGCAGCTAATTTGATCATTAAAATGCTTTTTTTTTTTTAAAGTAAAAGTTCAACTGAGACACAAGTTTCCGATAATGTCGAGCAAACAAATAATTGTTTTAGGTGCTTATCTTGTTAAATTTCTCAGAAATGCGCAGCTTTCCTCCTTCCCAATTTCCTCCCTCTGCACACTCCCGGAGAACTTTTGAAATGCAGCTGATTTGACCGTTAACATTCTTTTATTAAGGAAAAGTTCAGCTGAGATACACCTTTACTATAAAGTCGAGCAAACAAATAATTGTTTTTAGGTTGTTATCTTATTAAATTCCAAGGCAATGCAGCAGCGGGTCCCACTGCGCATGCCCGCTGCACGTGCCCGCTGAACGTGCCCGCTGAACGTGCCTGCTTCGCAGCACCTCAGCAGCAAAACTATTTTTGAAATTCAGCAGATTTTACCATTAAAGTGCATTTTTTAAAGGAATAGTTCAACAGAGACACACCTTTGCTAAAATTTCGAGCCAACAAATAATTGTTTTTAAGTGTTAATCTTGCTCAATTCCAGTTAAAGTCCTCCTGTGCACACCCCAGAGACCACCATTTGGCAGCCAATAGATTTTTGGCACAACACCAACCCACATTTCCAGGTTGTCAGCGGTGTCGCGTAACAAACGCAATGCATCAGCGGTTATGCATAATAGATGCAACATATACGGTGAAGCGACGTATTTATGGATTTTCCCCACTTTATTAGACATATTTGGACTGATGCTGTTTATACATGGTGCAACATGTATGGTGGAAAATACAGTAAACTTTTTTCCTCTAAACTGAGGTCATTCAAAGAGCTACAGTATTTCCAACAAGTACATTTTTAATAGTTCTGAGTTGTTGTATAAAACCCCACTTCAAAATATTCAAAATATTGAGATCAGCATTACTGCAGTTCTGAGGTGAGAGGTTCACTGGTCAACTGCCCCCTAATTGAATATAATGCATTTTGTTTGATATTAGACACTGACTAAAAAAAATTAATACAAATGCTACAATAATGAAAATACAATATCTATAATTGAAAAAGAAAGTGCTATGCATTGTTGAAATTAGTTCTCTGAACTTAACCCATCACATGTGAGCTATACCCAGGTGGATCAGCGGGTGGCCATGTGGACACGTGCAGAGCAGTTGGGGATTGGGTGTCTTGCTCAAGGACACCATGACATGTAGCATGGCGGGGAGTTGAGCCTGTGACATTCTGGTGCCAGGTCAGCTTCCCTACCTCTACAACATCTCGGGTCCCATACCTACATTATGAGGTATTTGCTTATTTCTACCAATGAAAATG